AGCCGTCCTGGCAGAGGAGCCATGGGGGCGTGGCTGTGGGGGGGAGGAGCCGCCCGTAACTGTTTACCTGACGGGGTGAGGGTGGAACTGGGGAAGTGGGTTGGGCAGGTTGGGCTTCGCTCAGGGAAAGTGGGACTGAAGGCGTATGTGTGACCTGGTTGACTTCCAGGGGTCCATTTTGCTCCTGCTCAGGTCCTAGGGTAGGCATGGTGGACGAGGCAACCAGAGTGAGGGTCCTTAGGATGTGGACAGCTGGCTGTGGGCTTCTGCGCCCGGCAGGTCTGTGTGGACATCAGACACGGGGGGTTGGGGGAGTGGGAAAGGCTCTGTCCCACAAGTGGGCAGAAGTCCGGGTGCAGTGGAGGTCTGGGATGTGTACCTCGGGAAGTGTGTCCCGGAGAGCAGCGTGGAGTGTGTGACTGTGGGCAGTGAGCCCAGTGTGCAGCGAGGTGGACGGGTGTCCGAAACGCTATCCGAGGCACAGGCGGGGCCGCACGGGCACTGGGCTCTGGTTTTTGTGGGCTCCTGGAAGGGTGGGGACAGACTCTGATGCGCAGGGTCAGAGCCCACAGGTGAGCATGGCCCCATGGGAAGAACCGAGGGGCCCCGATGGGACAAGCAAGCAGGAACTCAACCCCAGGGAGAGAGGGACAGGTACTGGTGCTTCCCCAGGGCCAGAGCTCAGCTGCGCTGGGCTGAGGAGGAGGCAGCCCAGGGCCTTCTGCAGACAAACCGTCATTGTTTGGGGTTACTTGGGGCCTCATAGTCGTATGCCATTGATCTGTATTGATTCCTATGCCACTGCCACACCATTTGGGTTATTGTAACTTTGTACGTTTTTCTTCTTTATCTTTATGAGTGTGTGCACAGATGTGGGGAACACCCTTCCCAGAGTCTGGTCACACTGTGACCTCTCCTCCAGTCCTCCGCCCTATTGGATCTTAGCTTGACTTGGGATTCAGGTGTGGTTTCCTGAGCACTGTGTTACCATGTGGACAGAGCTGGCCCTGTCTTCAGTCTTGAACCTAGAAGGTGTGAGTCCTCTAGCCCTGTTTTTCTTCAAGGTTATGGTGGCTGTTCAGGACACTCTGCAGTTCCTATGAATTTGAGAAGTTAATTTATTGAAAAATATAAAAGTTGGAACCAGCAGTTAGCTTAATGGCTATGTCGCTGGACTCCCATGTAGTTGACTGCGGTTCAAGTCCCAGACCTGGTGGCTTAAACTCATGCCAGGCGCGTGTGCATGCGTACCCAAGATCCTGAGAGGAGAATGGAGGAGAAGGGATTGCGGCGTGGCCATCCCCCTGGGGGTGATTTCTCCCTTTCTGTCTCTCTGTCTCTCTCTGTCTTTCTGGTGAGCGCATGTGCCCTATAGCAAAAACCTCTCAAAAAAAAAAATATATATATATAAGTTAATGTATATAGTTTGAGATTCCAAATTACAACTGTTATGACACTTTTCATTTGGTTTAATAACCAAAAAGATTATCCACAATTACCTGGAAAGGCTGTTAAAATATACCTCCTTTTTTCCTAATACATGTCTGTGTGAGGCTTAATTTTCTTCATATACTTCAGAGTATATATGACAACAGACTGAATACATAGACATGTACATAGAAATGTCAGAATACAGCCGTCTTCTAAGAAGTCAGGTACTAGAAAGTTGTTTGTTTATTTGTTTTTGCTATAGGGCTATGTGCTTACCAGTTAGAAACAGAGAGCAAGAGAAAGCCCAGCAATAAGAAATACCCTCAGGGGGTTGGCCACACCGCAGTCCCTTCTCCCCCATGCTTTTCTGGAGATTTTGGTCATGTGTGCACACACACCTGGCATGACATTGAAGACACTGGGTCCGGAATTCAACCTGCACTGTCGGCCGTGTGGGATCCAGCGCCTTACCCTCCACACCACTTGCTGGCCCCACAATTCTTTTTAAAAATACACATTACTGGGGCTATTCAGGGCCTTTTGTAGTTCCATATGAGTTTGAGAATTCACCTTCCGTTTCTCTGTGCACACAGGCTTCTGGATTTTGCAGAAGACGGTCCTGAATCTAGAGCTCCCTGGGTATTATGGCCATTTCTTTTTCTCTTTCTTTCTTTCTTTTTTTTTTTTTTTTTTTTTGAGAGGTTTTTGCTATAGGGCGTGTGCACTCGCCAGGAAGATAGAGGGAGACAGAGAGACAGAGAGACAGAAAGCGAGTAATCACCCCCCAGGGGGGATGGCCACGCCGCAAGCCCTTCTCCTCCATTCTCCTCTCGGGATCTTGGGCATGCACGCACATGCGCCCGGCGTGAGTTTAAGCCACCGGGTCTGGGACGTGAACCACGGTCGACTACATGGGAATCCAGCGACACAGCCATTACGCTAACTGCTGGTCCCTTGGCCATTTCTTTTTTTCTTTTTCTTTTTCTTTTTTTTGAGAGGTTTTTGCTAGAGGGCACGTGCGCTCGCCAGACAGACAGAGAGAGACAGAGAGACAGAAAGCGAGAAATCACCCCCGGGGATGGCCACGCCGCAGCCCCTTCTCCATTCTCCTCTCAGGATCTTGGGCACCCACGCACACGCGCCCGGCGTGAGTTTAAGCCACCGGGTCCAGGACTCGAACCACGGTTGACTACGTGGGAGTCCAGCGACATAGCCATTACGCTAACTGCTGGTGCCTGGCCATTTCTTTTTAAAAGAGATTTTTTCCTATAGGGCTCGTGCATTCACTGAAGAGACAGAGACAGAGACTGAAAGGGAGAAGTCACCCGGAGAAATGGCCATGCCACAGTCCCTTCAACTCCAGTCTCCTCTTGGGATTTTGGGCACACACACAGCTGCCTGGTGTGAGTTTTAAGCCACTGAGTCCAGGACTCAGACTGTGGTCAGCCACATGGGAGACCATTATGCCATCTGCTGGTCCCTGGTACGGCCATCTTAACACTAAGTCTGAAGGCCGTGAACATGGGATTTCTTCCATTTATGTCATCTTTGATTTTTTTAAGCCATGTTTTATACTTTTCAGGGTATAAGTCTTTAAACTTATTCCTAGACATTTTAAACTTGGTTAAATGTCTTCCTAGATATTTCATTCTTTTCAATCTATCGTAAAGGGAATCCTCCCAATTCCGTCAGGGGTCTCACTGCTGGTGTGCCGGTGCTGCGCCCTGTGCGTGTGCGTGTGCGTGTCAGCTCGCTCTGGTCCTGGCCACAGTGTGCTCTGGGGTTCCCACGTGGGGCCTGCCACCTGCTGGCAGAGGGCGCTCTGTCTCCCCTCCCCTAGATGCCCAGGCTGGTTGCTAGCTGGTCACTTGCCAAAGCCAGTCCTGTGCGCAGCCCCCCTCCTCACCGCGGTGAAGCACTGCAGGCCTTCCTGGGTGCCGTGGCAGGAGTCCCCTCCCAGGAAAGGTGCTGGGCATGGGTGCCCGTTTTGCACCAAGATGGCCACGTGGGTTTCCCCCCCACCTCCTCCCTCCCGTGGTGTGTCAGGCTGCCTGAGTCCCCATGCTGAGCCTTTGTGCCCCTGTGTGGGCTGGGCCCCTGTGAATAGTCTCACTCCCAGTTAGATACTCCCGGGGCAGGCCAGAATTCGGCCTCCCGCAGAGACGCCCCAAGGAGGTGGTGCTCAAAGGACTCTAGTTTGAGCTTCCGTGGAGTGGAGGCTGCAGGATGCTGGGACACAGGATGCTGCCCTGGGGCTGGAAGCGCACCTCCCCAGCTGGTGGCAGGAAGCACAGGAGCAGCCTGCGGTCAGTTGTCTGGACAGTGGCTGGGAGGGCCTTGTCCTCAGAGTGTCTGACGGCTTGGGAAGCTGACCAGCGAGTTGGCTTGGTGGGAGCGATGTTGATTGAACTCCCTTGAAGCTGGGGTGCCGCCGTGCGGCAGGATCAGCTTCCAGGCCACACTGGCGCCCTCGCTCCTGCTGCCAGGCCGGGTCCATGTTGAACCCTGAACCCTTCCTTAGCTTTGGATCATTCTGGCTAGCTGAAGACGCTGGTTTCTTCTGGTGTTTCTGTTTCAAAGCCTGTCTGTCACAGGTCTGTCACCAGCGGTATGTCCTTCCTCGGTGTGGCTCTGTTCGGGGCCTACAGCGTGGGATTGTTGGACCATGTGTCCGTGAGAATGCCTGCTGGGGCCCCTGCAGCCATGTTGGGTTGTGAGGAAGTTGGGGTGGGCACCTTGTCCCTGTCAATCTTCGCATGTGTGGAGAGGGCGTGTTCTGGTAAGGGTTTCACGTCACGTGGCTCTTAACATTCACTTCCAGATGTCTCCTCAGTTTTATAGCGCTAGCATTTGTTAGTTATAGCTCTTAAAAGTTTTTTTGGGGGGGACCAGCAGATGGCGTAATGGCTGTGTCGCTGAACTCCTATGTAGTCGACTGCAGTTCGAGTCCCAGACCCAGTGGCTGCAGGTCCTAATGAAGTTTCTTAATGAATTCATGCCGGGCACGAGTGCATGCGTGCCCAAGATCCCGAGAGGAGAATGGAGGAGAAGGGATTGCGACGTGGCCATTTTCCCCCCCGGGTTGAGTTCTCGCTTTCTGTCTCTCTGTCTCTTGTGCACATACACGCCTTATACCAAAAATCCCTTTTAAAAAATCAAGTTG